AAGTTGGAAAACTTCCCTTGAAATCTTGATCGATTCATTTCTCTCTCAGAACCATAGCAGTATAACAGGTTTCGGCTTTCCTTTGGTGCCTTGCTGGCAGTTGGGAGTGTCTCAGAGAGGGATTGGGGCTAATGAAGTCAATGGTAATGATATTCTACAAAACTTTCTGGTAAACACAACGATGTGGTTAATTTATTTGAGCTGCCTTTGTTGTTGAGAAAAAAACTGGAGAGTTAGGAAGGCTTCCCTCCAAAATGTGGGGACCTGTCTGGGGCCTCTCTCAATACTTTGAAGTTCTTCTGCATACTGTGCTTTTCCTTCAATGCCCCCAAGTGTGTGGGCTGTGACTGTTTAGCTTGATTGGTGTGTGAATGTCATCCCAAGCACTGAGCTGCTGCTTAAGAAGGAACCGTAATTATGGATTCCCATGAAATGAGCCTGTGTTCAGCAGAACCTTTCTCTGGAGACCTTATATATGGTTGTGAACAGGGGTCATGTCGACAAGCAGACAGCCCCAGCCACCAGTTTAATGTGACACATTCATGGAAGAAATTCCTTGAATAAATGAGTCAAGAGACCTCTGCATTCAGTGTTAACTGAAAGAGACAGATGTCCAAGAGGGAGATTCCTGAAGAAAATCAGAGAGCAGCCATTTTCGGCCATGAAGAATGGATGCAGCCTTGTTTCTTCCAACTATGCATTTTTCATAGTTCACGTGGTTCTTGCTTAGGTTTACAAATATCCTTTCTGCCATTTTCCCCATCTTTGAGGAACCAACACAAGCACCAACTATATGAAATCTAAGTTAAAACTGACCCGTAGACTTTTTCCTTTGGCATTAACTCCCCCAAAACAGTAGAGTAACTACACGCAGCACTCTCACTGTGTAACCTGAAGATTACACAATGTACACAGAATTGTGGGTCAAGGATATGTACAAAGATGACTTTGTTTTGTAAGAGGAATTTCAGTGTGTTTGACAAGTACTAGAACCCATTTCTTAAAAACTGTGTGTGTGTATGTTTGTGTGTAGACACATATGCACACACATACACACACCACATGCACACAACATGCACATGTATCTTAGGTCTTCTCATGGAACTCTTAAAGTATGTGGAATTTTTTTCTTTTCTTTTTTGTTTTGAACCAAATTGTCTTAGAGACTTTTAGTACTTGTTAGAATAAATTTTGCAATTTCTTAGTTATGCTGCTCTCTGGTTTCCTCTACTAATGGGTTTGTCTGTGTTTAACATTCATTTTCTCACCTAATTGCTATTTCCAATGTTTCTAAGGAAGTTAATTAACCTTATGCTAAAGACTGACATCAAATTATCATCCTGAGATAGAAGTTGGAGGATGGGTTTGTGTGTTTGTTTGTTTTCCTGGCACAGGGTTTCTCTGTGTGCTTGCTTTGTCCTGGCTATCTTAGAACTTGCTTTGTAGACTAGACTGGACTCAGCCTCACAGAGATCTGCCTGCCTCTGCCTCCTGAGTGCTGGGATTAAAGTCACAAACCACCTGGCTGGAGGATAGGTTTTTACAGGAGGTTTTTGGAGCTCACTTTAGGATTAGGAACTGGGTTATTGTCTTTTCTTTGCATTAGATTTGTTACTCTTTTATTTATTTGTTAGTTTATACTCATGTAGTCTGAAGAGATTTTTATTATGGATAAATCATATCTAAATGAACATTCAAACAGCTAAACACCTTTACATATTTGTATTCCCAGTTGAGAGCACAAATTCTAGTTTGCACATTATAGTTAAAATTTTCCCATTTTGGGCGTTGGTGGCGCACGCCTTTAATCCCAGCCCTTGGGAGGCAGAGGCAGGCGGATCTCTGTGAGTTTGAGGCCAGCCTGGTCTCCAGAGCGAGTGCCAGGATAGGCTCCAAAGCTACATAGAGAAATGCTGTCTTGAAAAACCAAAAAAAAATTCCCATTATAAAAATTATGGTTCAGATCTGAGCATTCAGGAGGTGGAAGCAGAAGGCTCTCAAATTGGGCTACATAGCAAGAGCCCAGATCAAGAAAGAAATGATGGTTCAAGAAAAAAGAAAGATTGTGAGATGCAACAACACCAGTCACTTTAAATTCTCATCCTACTATCCTTGCTCTAGGTACCCTTCAGCACAGAGGTGATTTCATGGGAAAAATCCTTCTGCTCATTGCTCTGTATCAGCCTTCATCAGTGCCACCCTCCTGGGTGAGAACAGAGGAGGCAGAGGGGGCTCTGTGGCTGTCTAATCGGCCAGTTAAGCCTTTAAGCAGATAATACAGGAGCTTACAGGCTGATATGAGGCAGGCGAAGCAGCTTATTCTTCATTTCTGAACATTGTGTCAGGTGAATCAAGGGCAAACAGTAACTAAATAAAAAGCCAGAATATCTATTTTCTGTTTCTATACTTGGATATCTTTATTACTGAAGTAGAGTACTTGATTACTGGCAGGGATTTTGGAGGCCTGATGATCAAAATATCTTCCATTTCTGTTTGGATTGAGCACATCAATCAAACAGAAAGGGACAGACAAAAGAGAATAACCTAATTCCACTTAGTTTTGCACTGTGTGTCACAGTTCTGAAGCTCACTTCCCTGACCACATTTAATAACTCATTGAAGCCACCTCTCTGGAGCAGGCCTTGGCAGACACTTCCAGCCATGAGAGGAGCATGGGCCAAATGCTGCTCCACATTCTGTACACACTACTTGCTGGCTGATGTGTCCATGAGCCTGGCTCTCCTAGAGTTAGTGCTGGGATGTTTGCAGACAGTAGGACACAGCTAATGATGTCTGCACATGCTGAGAAGCCTGAGGCGGGAGAAGAGACATTCCTAAATCTCAGGGTATAGAACGTGTCCAATGTTGGCTGTCTTCTTGGTCTGTCAGGTTGTATCATTGAAATTCATTTTATCCCACCTTAGTCCCCACCCCAGGCCCACAGACAACATTATAAAGGACTGATTATAAGCATTGGTATTAATGTTTTATGAAAGAGCAGAGTAAGACTTAGTGAAATTATTTAACTTGATCAAAGTACAGTCATTGTAAGAGTTGAGACTCAAATCTAGACCCATCTTACATGAAAACTCCTTCCCACCCAGGTATTTTGAATGTTAAGGAATCTAATGACATTCATCCAAGCAAATTAGATTTTTTTTTTTTTAGTTGAAAATCACTCTGAAACTGTGTGGTGGGAATTAGGTGACTCATTGATATAAAGTATAGAGTATGGTTTTTTAAAAAGCTTTTTTTTTGCTTTGAAATAATTTTAGACCTACAGAAAAGATGCAAAAATAACACAGAGATTTCCCATCGGGCCATTGCTTGGCTTCCTTTCCTGTTAGCATCTTACATAAGCGTGGCATAATTGTTGAGGTGGGAGATTGGTGCTGGTATGGAGCTAAATAAACTACAAACTTTACTCAATATCATCTAAGTGTTCACTGCTGGCTATGAGTTTTTGGGTTTTGTTTTGTTTAGGGGTGGGAATGCTATTTTATGGATTTTTATAGCTCAGTGCCGGATGGGGATTCTGATTGAGGGGTGGTGATCACTGACTGCAGAATGGATAAATGAATGAATGGGTTTTAAGTCACACACTACAGCTTGGGGATCCTTGTGTGGAGTTATGTCACACAGGTGTGAAGCATATGAAGAGACGCCGAGGCTTTGATTGAATGTTTTCTATAGAACTAAATTCCACCTTAGACTCGGTGATGAAAAGGGTTTTATTATTCTTCTCTCAATTGTTACATCCTGACTGCAGTATATTGCATCCATTACCCTTTTCCTTTCCTCCTAGTCCCCCCCCCACTGCATCTCCCTTCTCTCTCCATCCACTCCTCCCCCATTTCCCTTCAGAAAAGAGCAGGCCTTCCAGTGATATTAACCAAACATAGCATAACAATAAGAATAAGCACGTTCCCTCATATTAATACTGGTGAAGCAACATAGTAGGAGGGAAAGGGTCCTAAGACCATGTAAAAGAGTCAGTGACAGCCCCTACTCCCATGGCCAGGATTCCCTCAAGAACACCCAGCTATACAACCATAACATATATGCAAAGGACCTAGTTCAGACCCATACAGGGTCTGATTGTTGGTTCAGTCTGTGAGCTTGTATGAGCCCTGGCTAGTTGACTCTATGGGCTGGCCATGTCTTGTGCTGTCCTCAACTCTTCTGACTCCCACAATGCCTCCTCACCCTGACTTGTTGATGATCAAACTTGTAGAATAATGAAAATACTTCAACATAAAGGAGGTGAACAAACAAGATAAAAGAAAGACATCAGAGCAATCTGTCAACTGGACAGAAGGCTCTGGTGGAAGGTTCAGCTCTCTCTCTCTGTCTCTGTCTCTGTCTCTGTCTCTGTCTCTCTCTCTCTCTCTCTCTCTCTCTCTCTCTCTCTCTCTCTCTCTCTCTCTCTCTCTCTCTCTCTCTCTCTCTCTCTCCTCCCTGCCTCCTTCCATCGCCTCGCCCCCTCTCTCTTGTGTGTGTTTCTTTGTGTTTCTTCTCACACTAATGAGTGAAGGAGCCAGTGGTTTTCAGTCTGTCCTGTATTTGCAGGCAGACTGAACTCAATTGTTAACCCAAACTGTAGCTGCTCCCTGGTTAAGGGAAACTCCATGCAGATCGTTCCCAGGCTTCCACTTGCTTTTGGACTGGTTAAGTGGAGTTGATGTGAATCTGACGACAGTGCTTTCTGATGCAAACACTGTTCGTTGCCACTTTTTAAGCCAAGAGTATATATAACCTGCAATATTAAAGCACAAAATTCTTGTCACTAGTTTAATGCTCCCCAAATAGCCTGTTTCCCCACTTGCTAGCATTTTTCACCTCTTGCTGATCAAGCTTTAAAAATATTAATGCAACAAGTTATAGAAAGATAAGAACATAGAATTATTCTTCATTAGGCAAGCTAGTGTTCAAAAATTATGAAACAGCAATTTCCTCAAAAAGTTCAACTTTCTAAACATTTTCTTTGTTTTATCACCTAGATGGAAGATGTCATAGCACGCATGCAAGATGAAAAAAATGGAATTCCCATCCGTACCGTCAAAAGCTTCCTTTCCAAGATACCTAGCGTCTTCTCTGGTAAGTGTGCATCTAGCACAGCTTTGTTTTCTTCAGCGCATATCACGTCACTGTTTTGTAAACCTCTGGTGTGTTACTAGACAGCAACTAGTAAGACGCCATAGTACCTTCATCATGATGTTTAGATCCTGGGAATGGGTGTAAGACACCCTGGAAACGAGTAAGATATGACGTAAACCAAGAGTTCTAGCCTGACACAGAGTCACTTGGAAAGAGAGAATGAACACATATTTAATAAGAAAAAGAAAAAGGTGAAGATAAATAGCAATGTGTGAAACGATGCTATGGAGACTAAATGTGAAAGTTGAGAGAATGAAAGACAATTAAGGAAAAGTCAGGGGAGGAGTCTTGAAGCATGGCCCTGCTCATAACTGGAAAAGTCAGGAAGGATTACATCACCATCTGCCGTGCTGAGAACAGGGCAATGACAGAAAGCATGGGGAACCAGCCATTAATGGTGGTGACTAATTTGTATCTCTAAAAGACAATCACAGGACTGAAATTCCAACAAATAGGGGTGGTAGAGAGCTTTTAAATAATTATAAAGAATTCTGTGATGAGAGGTTTGGGGAGTTGCTCCTGTCTGTACAGGCCCAATCACACAAACTAAATTGGGCTCTGCATAACCGAGGTCAAAAGATTGGCATGTGGGGTAAGCCTGAAACACCATCCTTGTTGCAGGGTTTGGAGTCAGGGGAATGAAGTAGAGACAGGAAAATCCCTGGGCCACATTTTCTAACCAGTCTGATCTAACGATGAGCTTGACTTTCAGTAAAAGATTCTGTTAAAGATGGGGAACAGTGAAAGACATGTGATATTAACTTGGGGACTCCATAAGTGCACCTTCATGCATCCTGCAGCTGTATGTGCATGTGTGTGTATGCACACAGAGACACACACAGACAGACAGACATGCACGCACACACTCACAGAGACAGACTGACAAAGAGAAATGAATGTTTTAATACACAGGCATGACTCTTGTAGGAATTGATTGCATAGCAAGACTTTAACACCCAGGGATTGAAGAACAAGGAAATGCAAGGGTTTTGTAACTGGGCATGCAGGATAAAAGAGAATACAGACCATTTTTGTTCTCTTCTTTGCTACTGAGAAGTAGAGAATCCTCATCAGAAATACGAGACTATGAAAATCATTAGCAACAGTGTAAAACCCAAAAGAATGGGCAATAATCAGTGAAAAATGTGTGCTCTGACTCCATGAAGCTCTGACTGACCCTGCTGTGGAGTCTGAGTGGCGATGGCCATAACTGCTGAAGAATCAGTTGACGCTTGATCCCCCAAAGCCCGAGAGGTAGCCATGATGGACAGAGGAGATTTCAGGAGACAGAGATTCAGGCATGAGTGGGGGTTGCATGGCAGGATCCTGTGAACAAAATGAGCAGTCCATTCTGGAGCAGGGTCAAGGGAAGGCTGTGATCAGGAAGTTTCAACCCTGGACAGGACAAGACTGGACACTGGAGGGGCAGACAAGCAGACCCGTGTACCGGGGTGTGATAGCTCTGTTAAACTTCAATCTTCTGAGAATTCCCAGAGAGTGACATGTCCCTAGTAACCCAGGGCATCCCTTCCTTTTCATGTCCACCTCAATCCAGTGTCTTGACTTGCAGTCTAGACCTGGAATTTGATGCCATCTCCATTATCCACTACCAGCCGACTTCAGAACATTCTATTTATTGAAATGTATCTTCTCAATAGTCAGTTCAGAGAACTCTTCATGAAAACTAGCCTAAGCTGTTTTCTCTCCCTTATTCCCTACCCCTTCTTTATTCTTTATCCCATCCATTCTTCCTCCCTTACTCCCAAAATCTCATATAAAAACAAAACTGTAATGAGTGTTTGTGGAAAGTTGAACTTTTCTAGAAAATTTTGCTTTCATAATTTTGTAAACTAATTTTGCTCAACTCATGACTCACGGTAGTCCTAAACCTTGCCTTTAAAATTTTGGTATGGTAACATCTGTAAATTTGACTAATAGAAAATGGAGAAACTAGCAAGAAGACAATGTCCACTTGGAACATGAAAAAGTCCCCCATAGGAATTTTGTGTTGCGACATTGCTTGCTTCTGAGCAAGTTCTTTAGATTTAGTAATTCCTCCACAACAAGCAACTTGGAAGATTTTTTTCACCGACGTCATCTCTATCTTAATGGTTAAGTAGGACTGGGTGTAGAGTTTGGGAGTAAACCCTGTTTTAGAGTTTATCAATATAAAACAATAGCAACAGAAGATAAACAAGGAAGATAGGAAATTTGATATTGAGGTGTTTGTGTTCAAATTGAGACTGTGTTCCTTAGAAATTTCAAGGAGTTCCTTTTTCATAGTTTATTTAGTTACTTTGCAATAGAATTGATATGTTTATAATTTGTTGGCCTCTTTCTAGCAATATTTTCAAACTATAGTAGCCTCAAGCCCTATCTATTTTATTAAATTTTCAGTGATTCCTGAGTCATGCCCCACAGGCTGAAAACCACTGCTTTACAGTTTGTTTTTAGGGCTAATATTTTAGTTGTACTAGAAAAATACATTACACTATATGTTTATGTGGCATCACAAACCCCAGTGTGTTCTTTCTGTAGAAGTTCGAAAAGTCATTTGTCAAGTGAAGCCTATTACTTTGTATGCTGATTGAAAAAAAAAGACAATAAAAAATAAAAATTAAAAAGTAAGTTGTGAGGAAAGAAATCCAAAGCTAGCACTATCCAATTTGGTTTGAAAAACAAATCCTGTTTACATATATGTCTTCAGTTATGAACGGACAACTATTATGAGATTTGTTGTGGTACCAAAGCCCGAGGTGGGCATAATTATTTGTTTACTATTTCCTTGCTTTTGAAAGGATGCTCTCAAAATGTCCACTTCATGGTTTCTATGCTGCTTAGACCAACTCAGAGAAATAAATTTACTCTGTAATAAACCACTGAGAAAATAATGTCTTTGAAGATAAATATGACTCCTCTCCCTGATTCTTCTTAAACAATAAAACTATAATTTTATTTTATTCCATCTTGTCTGAAGGTTCCTTAGTAAATTTAATATTCTGTTCAATATTTTTCACATGGCGTATCACTTATCTATTATTTTCTTTGACTTGTTTATTTTTTCTTCGCTTTATTGAGGAAAGGGTCTCACTCTGTATTTTAGGCTGGACTGGAACTCATAGTGACCCTCCTGCCTCAGCCCCCTGAATTATAGACATGAGCAACCACACAAATTACTAGAGTGTGTGTGTGTGTGTGTGTGTGTGTGTGTGTGTGTGTGTGTGTGTGTTAGCATCTGATAGTTACCAGATTTAAATAAGTGAGTTAATTATTGAGGAATTTGCAAAATAATGTAGTAAATAAGTACTATCTTAACACATTTAATCACTTTAGTCAAATGTTTTTAATATGCAAAATAATCGATAAATCAAGTTACTGTTGTTATCATTTATATAGAAATTTATAGTGTTATTGTTTTTGTTTCTAAAGTAAAACATAATTGTCTGGCCACCAGAGAAATGTTTTAATTCAAGTGGTTGGTGTTAACTGAAATAAAGTTATGAGACTTAAAGGAAACAAGTGAATACGTGGATCCGTTCCTGTATATTTCATTTGCTAGGTTCTTAGTGTTTACTTATTTATTAGCTTTTTCAATGCCTTGAGGTGATGTTTGAAGCCTCACAAAATAGGATAAAATCAATAAATCATAAACACAGTCTACAGTAAGCATAGATAAAAGTACAAGAAGAAAAATAGATCATATGTAGAGTCCATTATGAAGACCTTATTTACATAAATTTTCCATAAAATCTTCTGATGGAGAAAAATGACTCTTGTGTGCCTTATTTGTATATATTTGTAGTACTGGCACTTTAATCCAAGATCAAGAGCATAGTAGGTCTAATACTCTACCACTCAGCTTTACCACCAACTTCCCTTTCCTTCTAATAGTTGTTTTTGTCTGTAGTGTATATGTATATGTCCTTGTACATGTGTGTCGTCTTCAATTGTTTGTCCATGTTATATTTTGAGGCAGGGTCTCTCCTTGAAGCTGGAGCTCCATATTCCGACTGGGTTGGATTACTGGTGAATGTCTGGGACCCGCCTGTCTCCATCTCTCTTGCATTAGCATTACAAGCCTGCCATTATGCCTGGGACCCAAACTCAGATTCTCATGCTTGTGTAGCAAGTATTTTACCCAAGAAACATCTCCCCAGCATGTCTACCTCTTACTGTCTTTATTCCGTATGTGGGAGCACTGGAATGTGAGTGCAGCAGATTATTTCAAGTTATATTTAGGCGACCCCTGAGATGAATTCTGAGACAGTATCTGAGAAGTGTTTGCTCTGCCTCCAGGAGTGTTTTCAGCCTCAAATCCTTCCCAGTTCAAGTAGGGTGATCTATCTGGACTTTGGTCATAAATCCTCCATCACAATATAAAATGAAAGTTGAAACTCAAATGTTACTGTGTATGTTTTATTAAAAGTTCACTCAAATTTGTACCATTGTATCTGCAAATTGGAAAAGATAACTGTAAAGTTAAAGACATATCTATAGCTTTAAATGAGTTTGTTAAGTCCCAGTTTGCATGGAAACATTTTCCCCAGAATTCATATCCTGTAATTTATGGTGTTTATTCATCTCACATCTGAAATCTTTGGTGAGACAATCCATGGCACTGGTATCTGCTGACAATGGTTTATATTAGAATCTGAAGGTAAGCACTGTAGAGATCCACATCCCAAACACAGTAGAAAGGTTATGCATACTAGAAGAGATCATTGATTTTACATTTTAAAGATGTTTGTGTGCTGTAATAGTACTTTACAGCTATGCTGTTTTATCTTGGCGATGTGCATATTTGAAAGACTCAAAATTGACAACGTAGGCACTTTGTTGCTTAACAAGCTATTGAAATAGTATACTTTTATGCTTTCTTCTTAGAGAATACATTATATTATAAGAGACTGAGTATTATTTGAGTGTAGATTTTTGGTTTA